CCCCGACCCCCGCTTCCTCCCTTAGACCTTCAGATAGAGTCTATCCTCTTTCCCCAATCCCCATCCCCACCCCAAACTGAATCTGCCCCCTTCCTCCCTCAAAGCTTTAGATGAAATCTGCCTCCTTTCTCAGACCTTCCCTTCAGATCTCCTGATTTAGGAGTTCTGAGATCCAGGCTCTCAGAAAACCCAGCTCACCCCCATCAGTGCAAAAACCCCTCAGTCTTGTCTGACCCTGCCTGTTTCCACCCCTTTTTCTTCCATTCCTACTTGGGTTCCTTCCAGACTACTACTCTAAATCTGGCTGAGGAAGTGTCTTCTCATCTCATCTCCAGTGTATCAAGAATAACATAGTCATTCATACTTTAGTATAAATCAGTCCACATTACCTGAACCCTGTCCTGTACTCAGCTCTGAGCTGAAGCACAACGTGGAAAACAGCCCCCTTCTTGTCAACCCAGGAATCACAAGGCAGTGGAGATTCTGACTTACGCCCCAGAATGAGAAGAACTGACATTAGGGAGCAGGGACTGTGGAAATACTGAGGGGGCAGCTGCCCCAACCTGGGCAGTCACGGAGGGCTTCTAGGAGAAGGAGACATTTTGAACTTTGGCTCAAAAGAGAAAAAGGTGATGTCCTAGAAGCAAGTGCGCAAGATTTCATTCCAAGCAATAGAAACCACATCTAGGGCAGCAAGGGAATTGATCTAGAGGCTTTTGGGTCGCTCCCAGAATCCCGGAGGAATGGGAGAACCAGAAAATGAGCCAGGACACGGGCAGCTGGCCAGCCACGGGGGCCCGGCCACAATGGCATCACAGAACCGGTCTGATGAGGACACGCTGGTGCCCCGATGACCACGGGATGCTCACCTCCCTGCCTCCGCTGCCCTAGAAATCAAATCGGATGTGGCAGCTCTTCCCATTAGCTGGCGCCCACAACAAAGCACTCCCAATCGCAGTGGCTTAAAGCAATTCCATCTCATTAGCGTGCATGGTTTCTGTGGGTCGAGGTTTCGGGAAGGGCGCAGTTGGGTGGTTGTAGCTTAGCGTCCGGTCTTGCAGTTTGGTCCGAAGCTGTGATCAGGCCCCGCACGTCAAGTGGCTGGAGGCCCAGAGCCCCCACGCTTTGGCTCCGTGGGGCTTCCGTACAGCATGGCAGCCTCCATGCGCGCGGTGGCTTCCATCGTTCCATTGCTCCTTTGCTCACGGAGCTCAGGTGGCGTCGCCGGTGGGCAGCTGCAGCACCTTTCCGGCGGATTCGAATCCACAGGAGTCTCCGCAGGATAAAAATGAGAGGTCGCTTCCCAGTCCATGCAATGAGGTGGTTTTAGAAAAAAAAAGGGGGGGGGGGAAGTCATGGAGAATATTCCAGCAAGCAACCCAAAGCTAAAACCCCTCTGCTACTGAGTTCCACTCATACAGGCCCTCCATCAGGTTTTCAAGTTAAGGCTACAGATTTTCACGGGAGGAGACCGCTCATCCACTTTCCTCATAGCGAGCGGCTGGTGGATTTGAACCCGTTATGCAGGGCTCTGCATCACCCAGAATCCTTCCAGCAAACAATGCGAGAGCTGCCTGAGCTTGTCGGAGCTGACCTCTGAAGTCATTCAGTGTCATCTCTGCAACATTCTAGATGTACCTGGGCGTCATAAGACTACTAAATGGAGAGGAGAAGGGACAGAGGGAGTTCTGGTGGTGCAGTGGTTAAGCATTCAACTGCTAACGGCTCTGAAGGAGCAAGGTGTGGCTGGCTGTGCTCCTTGGAAACAAGATGTTTTCTCTGGTGGAGATTTGCTGTTGTTGAGTACCGTCGAGCCAGAACTGAGCCTTCAGGGATTTTCAGAGGCTATAAATCCCACGGGAGAAAATTGCACATCTTTCTCTGTGGAACACCTAGTGGAACTGAGCTGCGTACTTTTGGGGTGGCAATGAAACTCCTTACCAAATTTCACTGCAGTAGACTTTGTGTGTTTGTGTCTGTGTGTGTTGTTATAGGCCTTCAAGTCACCTGCAACTAATAGCGAGCAACCCTGTATGCTCTGAACCCTGCCCTATCCTGACTCCAACACACCTACCCCCATTAGCATGTCAGTCCATCTCATCCAGCGTCTTCCTCTCTTGTGCTGTCCCTTTATCCTTCCAAGCATGATGTCCTTGTCCAAGGATCGGTCCCTCCTGGCCATGTGTCCAGCGTATGTGAAACAAAGCTTCAAAATCCTAGCCCCCAAGGAGAAATTCGGTTTCACCCTCTCCAAGACAGACCTGTTTGTTCTCTAGGCAGTCCACGGGATGTTCAATCCTCTTCTCCAGCACCAGAACTCAAAGGCATCACTTCTTCTCTTATCCTTAGTCATTATCCAGCTCTCTGATGCATAGAAAGTAATTGTGAAGACCATGGCCTGAATCTGGCGCATCTTGGTCTTTAGACTGACATCTTTGCTTCTCAGTACTCTTGGAGAGGTAGGTCCCTGATCACAGATTTTCCCAATGCAATTCATCTTTTGATTTCCTGGCTCCTGGTGTCAAGAGTGTTGATTGTGGAGCCGAGCTGAAATTGTTAACAATCTCAATCTCTTCTCCATCTATCATGGCACTACCAATTGACCCAGTGGTGAAAATCTTTGTCTCTTGGTGTTGAGCTGCAATCCATTTTAAAGACTATGTGACTTTCTACAGCAAGCACTTCAGGTCCTCCTCAGTTTTAGCAAGCAAGGTTGTGTCATCTGCATATTGCAGGTTGTTGATGAGTCTTCCTCCAATCCTGATGCCACATTCCTCCTCCTAAAGCCCAGCCTCCAAAATTATCTGTGCCACATATGGATTGAAAAAGTATGGAGACAGACACATCGCTGACACAATCCTTCCCTGATTTTGAACCATGCAGTGCTTCCTTGCTCTGTTCTGAGAACTACTTCCTCGTCCAAATATAGGTTTCACATGAATACAATCAAAAGTTCTGGGATTTCCATTCTCCTCAAAGGTAACCACAATTTATTGTGATCCACACAGTCAAATGCTTTTGCATAGTCAATAAAACACAGATAGACATTTCTCTAGTAGTTTTGCTTTCTGCCAAGATCCAGCTGACATTGACGATAATGTCTCTAGTGCCATGACCTCTTCTAAACCCAGCTTGTATTTCTGGTAGTTCTCAGTCAATGTTCACTGTTCCAGTTATTTTTGGATAATTTTCAGCAGGATTTTGCTTGCACGTAAGATTAATGATGTTTGTTGTTGTTGTTATGTGCCGTCAAGTCGCATGTGACTCGTAGTGACCCTATGTACAACAGCTCTAAACCCTGCTCTGTCCTTTGCCAGCCTCACTGTTTCCAACACACACACCCACCCCTATTACTCCAGTCACTGAATCAATCTGCCTCATAGAGGGTCTTCCTCTCCTGCGCTGTCCCTCCACCCTCCCAAGCATGACATTTCTCTCCAAGGACTGGTCTCTCCATGCAACATGTCCAAAGTATGGCAGACGAAGCTTCAGACTCCTTGCCTCCAAGCAGCAGCCTGGTTTAACCCTCTCAAAGATGAACCTGTTCTTTTTCTTAGCAGAACATGGTATATTCAATACTCTTCTCCAGCACCACAGCTCAAAGGCATCTATTCTCCTTCTATCAACCCTAGTTATTGTCTAGCTCTCTGATGCACAGCAAGTAATGGCAAAGACCATGGGCTGTATCAGGTGCACCTTAGTCTCCAGAGTGACGCCATTGCTCTTCAGTACTCCAGAGAGATCCCTAACAGCAGAGTTTCCCATTGTGATACATCTTTTAATTTCCTGGCTGCTAGTGCCAAGAGTGTTGATTTTGTTTGGTAATTTCCACACACTGTGAGGTCACCATTTTTTGGAAGGGAGATGTGTGTGTGTGTGTGTGTGTGTGTGTGTGTGTGTGTGTGTAAATTGTTGAACTTCTCTGACCACCAGGAAAGTTCTGGGCATTGGAAAGAACTATCCAGTACTCTAGGTACTTTAGTTAGTCAAGAGGTAAGGGGAGAGGGACTCATGGTTGTGTCCTCTTAGCTCTTGTTAGGAAGTTTTCTATGATGACTACAATAACTATGGGATAAATGTATTTGAAAGAAAGTCCTAATCTCCATAGGTTCATATGCTAAGGCCTGTATACTTCTTGACACTTTAGTCCTAAAACAGGTCCAGATAACCCCACACCACTTCAAGATATGGAACTATTAGAAAGAAAATGAAAAAAAAAAAATACTATGATTATGTGAACACAAAGTCCTTTTGGGTGCCCCACCAGTTCACTAATTCAAAATTAGTTTAATTTTGACATGTAGGCACTTTCATTTTACAGGGGATCCATTGGACAGAATTTTGGGGTTATTTCTCCAATTGTTTATGTCATATTTAGGAATATTTGGAATTTGTGATGAATTACCTTTAGAGCCACTACCTCCAGGACCACTAGTAAAGGTATTGGCTGCCTGGGGATCAGTTCAGGGCTGATAATGTAGTTTTGAATTGTACATAGGAGAAACTTGATTCTAGCTTGGTGATGCAGAAAGCGGCTGCATCAACAAGAATAATGCTATTTTCAACTTGGATTCATCCTATGTGATTTTCCAGAGGTTGTATGGGGGTCCCAGGCTCCTCTCATGCACACAGTGTCAATGGTTGATAGAGGGAGCACTGGATCCCACTAGGGGACAGGTTTAAAAAAAGGTGGGGAAATAATATGAGCCCAATATTCCTAATATTTGAGCTGGGGAGTTGGAGAAGAGCCCTGAACATCCCATGAATGGCCAAGAGAACAAACAGATAGAGAGGTCTTGGAGAGGGAGCAGCCAGTGTGCTCTTTGGAAGTAAGAATGATGAGACTTTGCCTCACATACTTCGGACGTGTTGCTAGGAGGGGCTATTCCTTGGAGAGGGACATGATGCTGGGAAGGGTGGAGGGTCATTCAAGGAGAGGAAGACCCTCAATCAGGTGGATTGACAAGGTGACTGTGGCAAGGGGCTCTTGTGTGTCAGGAAGTGTGAGGATGGCACAGGATAGAACAGGGTTCAGATCTTTTGTTCATAGGGTCGCTATAAGTTATGCTCGACTCAATGGCACTTAACAACAACAACAATATTCACCAGCTTGTCCTGGAAGAAACAAGGAAATAATTAGAAGAAACAACAAAACCCAGCAACAGCAGAACTTGCATTGATGACCACTAGATGAGCTAAAAACAATTCACAGGATTAGGAGGGACTCCTCCCTTTCCATGAGTTCATATAAAACTTTTTAAATTGGCTCCATATCAGGAGATCTGCTAAATCCATGTGCCTGGCCCTAGGAATGGTATAAGAAACTGGCTCTGAGGAGGCTCTGGGGTTGCATCCAGATGAAGACGTTGGAGCTGGTCCTTTATGAGTTCCAGAAAGCTCTTGCTGAATCTTTTGGTCCTTTTACCACATGGGTTCTGTGGGGATTGGAACACATACCAACCCGTGGTCCCAAGTTAATACTTGAAAGGGACCTTCCCATTGAGAACTATCAGGCAATGATTTTTTTAAATTTTATTAATTTTAATGAACATTTACAGAGATTTTGGATTTCCATTCATTCATTGTTGCACTTTCCCCCCTGCACCACCCCCTCCCCAGTTCGCTCTTCTCTTTGAAAAGTAAAAGAAAAATTCCTTCATTGGTATACAATCCCCCCACCCTGAGTAACTGCTCTCTCCCTCATCTGTTTTAATGCAGTATACATAATTTATCCAGTGTTTCTCAGTCTTACCCCAACCCTGATGCTGACATCCCATTCTACAACAGTGGCACTATGCAGTATTTGTCTTTTTTGTGACTGAGATATTCAGGCAATGATTTTATCCAGGTTCTC